TCAGTCATGCTTACATGAAGGGGAAAATGCAGGCAAAATGGATTTTGATGCAATGATGTGGGGCACCTAGGTCCCTGGTGGACTCTGGTAGCAGAATTGGTGGGATGAGGCCTGGTTCTTCAAACCCACAATTTTACAGGTCCCTGTCAGGTGATAGCATGCACTACAACTGGGAGAGCAGCCTCTTAAGAAACCTGAGGCTGAACCTATTGATGGATGATGTCCCATGGGTTATGAAAGGATTAAAGTTTAAAGGGCAATAGTTTTAGGGGTTCATCCACCATGCTTGGCTCCAGGAAGTCTAGAGTCCATGAAAATTTCTAATCCCTTTTGATTAGGACTCTTCTATGAAATCTTTGGCCAAAGGTTGAATAACAATAGCCAGACACCATGCAACTCTTCCGGTCTTGTGGTAAGGAAAGCAGTTGTTCATGAGACCATTACTCACCCATTCCATCTCATCCTCCCACCCCTCACTCCCCTTCTTCCTCTGCTGAAGCAGGTCAGCAGAGACCAATTGGTGCCTTGGATGACCAAGATACAATGAAACTAGGAGGTAGGCCGATGATCTGGGACGTCTCCTGGAACCATGGCCTTGAATCTCCAAATGAAGGATCCAGCCCCATGAGGTGGTTGACTACTCGTGAGTATCAAAGCATTTTATATGCAGCAAAGCACAGAAGCAAAATAATATACTAGGGCGTGCATTGTCTTAAACTCAAATACCAGCAGATGAACAAGAGAAGTTCATTGCAACCTAAAAGCTTTACCAAGAGTAGAACGGGGGCTGGGTCGTTAAGGTACTAGCGTCGACAAGAGTGGGGAGGGGCAGGGCTGTTAATTATTTCATGTGACTCTCCCCTTTCCTGATGGGTCTGGGGAAGAAGTTAGGGAAGCCACTGATGGGATTCTGGTGTGAGGCTTGTTAACAGGGTCATGATTGGCATCCTGCTGGGCATAAAATGAGCCATCTCAGAAACACGAAGGGAGGGCTGGGGAGGGAAGACCTCACTACCAGCAAGAGAGACTTGCCAGAAGTGGAGCGTGTCCTTTGGACCCCAAGATTCCTGAACTTGAACCTCCTCGAACCAGGAGACAGCCTTGGCACCAGAGGCCCAGCAGCAGCAGCAGCAGCAGCAGGAATTTTGAGCCCGCAGAGCAAGGAAAGCCGAGGATTTTGGGGCAGGAGGCCGACGACGTATGGAGTGGTTACCTCTGGGTGCTCAATTTGAGGAAATGAGTTTGTTGACTCCCACTGCTGAAGCGAAGTCCCTTTGGGTGGAGGGCCAGACATGCCATTTGGGCGTTTCCTGGCAGCTCTAACAAGCTTCCAACCATGTCCCGACTGAACAACTGTAGCCTGAGCTTTTCTCACTTAAGCTGTAACCTATTTGCATCCCTCATAAATCCCGTCATTGTGAGCACGGTCTGAGTTCCGTGTGGTGCTTGCAACGGAAGGGCGGACGAGTACAGCGTGCTGTGAGTCAGAGCAGTGAGGGAAGAGCGTGTCCTGGGAGGCACAGAAGGTCACATTCCAGCAAGAGTGGAACCTGAGCACAGGCTTTGGCAGAGTGCCACCTATCGTAGGTAGGCGGCAGGACAAGGTCCAGGCTTAAAGAAGGGCCAAGCAAAGGTGAGATCTACTTGAACAACTAATAGGACTGGGTGCCTGGCTTACTCAGGATTAAAAACAACGGGAGAAAGGGGCTGAGCTGGGGGGCATCGCTGACAAGTGGGTTCAGAAGGGACACCAAGGGGGAAGACAATAAATCTGGTTGTAGACAAGCCGAGTTCTAGGCGATAACAGTACTCAGGTAGCCTGAGTGACTTTTCCCGTCACACTGTTAACTTTTCACTGCTTTGGCGGACTTCTGAATGACCATGGGACAAGAGGAGGACTAAGTAGCCCGGGACACTACAGAGCAGATCTCTCTGTGGCTTCTGTGAGTGGACACAGGTCCACACTCTAGAGCCATGCATCACCACGATGGCATTGGGTGGAACCTCCGAACGTGCGTCCCTTCTTGAAAACGCGTTCTTCTTTGTGCCTCTGTTCAGTGGCTGAGGAGAGAGTAGGCTCCCCGAGAATCAAACAGAGCTGCCTGAGCCGTGCTGGGTCCCCCGTGCATTTTAATACAGTGCATTTAATACACTAAGGCAGTCAGCCTAAGAGGGGTGCCTATCATGTCCCCGTTCTACAGGATGCACTTCCAAATAGCGGTTCCAGTATTTGATACATTGAGAAGTTAAAAGTACCTTATTACGGTCATCCGTTCAGCTGTGGCCGGTACGTATGTGACGAGTTGTGAACGTATATGGTGAAAGAGCCCAAAATTCATGACCTTCACGTTCTCGGTGGGGCAGTTCATGTGTGAGGCAACAGGCCTCACTCAGTCTAACAGTGGCCTAGCTCACCAGCCTGTTGCCTTTGGGCGCAGCAGCTCAGCGCACTTAGAACTCTCACCACCAGATGTCACTGTGACTCGTTACCTAGAAATGCTACCTTTGTTGTCCTTTCCCCTAGGGGCAGCAGGGCAGGATGGGAAAAAAGAACACTTTCATGTTTTCATTAATTCAGCAAATTCTTATCTACACGAGTCAGGCACAGATGCCAGGGATTTTGGCTGAAAAAGATCACCATGTCTTCTAGCAGAATCGTGGAGGCAGCCACACACGGTCCGCTGTCAACGTACAGGAAGCCAAGTTAGGAGCTAACTTGGTAGCTGCTAGATTAGGATATTGCTTTCTCGGGGAGACCTTCTCTAACCCCCAGCCTGATGTTCCCATTGCTGTTGTATTCTGTACCTACTATCTGCTTCACGAGAATCACTTATTTAACATGTGGCACTGTAGGCTGAGCATTGGGCTGCTAATCGTGAGGTCCAAGGTTCAGAGCCACCAGCTGCTCCTTGGGAAAGCTAAGGCCATCTCAAACCCTAAGGAGCAGTTCGACTGGCCTGTAGGGTCACGTGGAGTCAGAACTGGCTCTGCAGTAGCGAGTCCGGCTTTTCCCCACAGCGGCTAACGCTTGTGAGAGGGCAAGACCCACGTGTCTCTGGTGCTGCCGCATGCCCAGCACTTAACAAAGTCACCCCAACTCACTGCCATCAAGCAGATGCCAACTCGGTGTCTCCACAGGATAGGGTAGAAATGCCCGGGAGTTTCTGAGATTTTAACTTGTCCACGGGAGTAGAGACCTCTTTCTCCTGAGCCAGGGCTGGTGGTTTCCAACTACTGAACTTGCAATTAGCAGTCCAGTGCAAACCCCACCAGCAGCCGTTGATTGAGCGTATTAAAGGGCCATGTGGTACTAAGCTGCATGCCATCTTCCCAGCCCCAGCCTGGCAACTGCCTGTGTTATACTGAGTCATGTCCACTGAGCTAGTAGGCAGTGGTCATGAACCCCAGTCCGATTCCAGGACACAGTACCACACCACATCCACTTGAGACATTTCATAGATGCTTGCCTACCTGTTTAACTTAATTTACCACTCTCTTCTTCAGATAAGCAATCCCGCTAATTTAAAAAAAAGTCATTTTATTGGGGGCTCTTACAGCTCTTATTACAATCCATCCATCCATTTGTATCAAGCACACTTGTACATATGTTGCATCATATTTTGAAATTTTTCTACTTGAGCCCTTGATATCAAGTTATTTTCCCTCCTCTCCCATCCTCCCTGATGAACCCTTGATAATTTGTAATAAAAAAATGTCCATGTCTTCCACCGCCCGCTGTCTCCCTTCGCCCAATTTTCTGTTGTGCATCCCCCTAGGTAGGGGGTTATATGTAGATCATTGTGACCAGCCCCCCTTCCCATCTTAGTATCTGTAGCCTCATTCTCCCCAACACGTAATGCTCACCATGTACACTGCAGCCACGTGCTTCTCTCCCCGTGCTCTACCGTGTCTGCTGAATGGGGTTTCCAGTTAGTAGTTTAACAAAGGCGGGACTAGAACGAGTCTGCAGAAACTTGTCTCTGTTCTTTTAGAGGCTTCGTGAAGAAGCCCTTGTTAGAACTGCCTATAGGCATCTCTTAGAAACCTCTTGAGGTGGAAAGAAAGTGTCGATGTATTAGCTGGGCAGGACCATTGACACTATTTAGTCTAATCTCATTTCCGTTAGGAAAACCCACTAACAACTCAGCTGTCAGCTCTAGTAAGCTTTCAAATGTGTACCTGGTGCCACTCCGGCATGCATTTCACCAAGGTCAATATTTCATCTCTCCTGACATCTCATTGCTGACACGAACCACGGAACAACTTCTTGTGGTTTATAGACAAGTTGCTCTCAAAGTGTAGATGGCTGTTCTTTGAAGACCCCATCCCATCTATCCCAACACAAAATTTATGCGATCAGTTTGAGAGGTGGTACCCCCAGTGGCTACGTGTTACAGATGTTCAGTCCCACTGCTGGGTTCCAGTCCCCAATCCTCTGGCCTTCTCGACCTATTGACCTGGGCAAGTGACTACACCTGCCCATGGCTCATCTCCTCCTCTGTGAAGAGAGGGCTGGACAGTCTGTCCCTGCTAGGGGGTCGGGAAGCTTAAGTAACACTCCACAGGAAAGGTGCCCAGAGCAGTGTGTATTGAGCACATAGCAAATACTCAATAAATGACAGCTTCTGTTTGGTAATATCTTTTAACAGTAGTGTCCACCAAAGGTACTTAACCTTTTATCACTTTTCCTGGAACTAAGTTAAGTGCTAATTTTGTGCTAATTTGAAGAATGACTTATTTTTCCTTTCGGTCAAATGGAAATAAACACAAAACATTAGATGTGTTACATTTACTTTTAATAAGAATACATGTACCATGTTATTACCATGAATGTAAATTTAGGTTAGACAAGAGAATTTCCCAAGTATAGTGTATAGGATTTCAAAATCTGTGTATGATGTCTGACCAAACTAGTTAGCTCATGATCACATTACCTCCAATACAGGCAAAGTGTTTGCTTCAACACTTATGCTTTGAAACAGAAAAAATAAAACACTGTACACATTTTAAAAATGCTCTTTACTTTTGGATTAGCAATTAAAATACACAATTCTTACTTGAGGATGACAATTAAAGATTAACATGGCAGCAGCAAAAATATACCTCTGCAATTACAAAAGGGCTAAAGAGGAATCCATAATTAGGTTATTCTCATGCGGACAAGAATGATTCTAAAATAAGTTATCTAAGCAGCTATTATTCACTTTTCAGGTTTAATTTGAACACACACGTTTTCAGCTGTAGGTTAGATTCCACCCGTTTTTCGGAAGGAGTTCTTTGAGAGTAGACTTGCCCTAGGAATGGAGGGATCGACCGGCCCACGAGGCAAGCAGAAAGAAAAGCCAGTCCACTGGTGCCTGCGACACGCTGCACAGCACCCAAAGGTGGCCTTCCACAGCAGCTGGATGTCCTTTAGCCTGGGCCTGCCGTCTGCTTCAGAACTAACCGCATCCCAAGAGTTTAAGAATGTGGACATCTTATCACTATCTAGTGAATTTGGGTGGCCAGCCTCTTTTTACAGACTGGACTCCCTGGAATGACCTAGTTCATGATTTAGACACTAGTAATTTGGTCACCAGGGAAGCCAAGCCTGCAAAAGAGAAAGCCTATCTTCAAAACAGTGAACTCATGTAAATAATTTATCTTCAACATAAACATAGAACCTCAAAAGGATGTGTCTCATCAAGTAACACCAACAAGACGGTGGCCGCATCTCTTCTTCTACTGCTTAGGTTTGGCCCAGTATTCCCGATACATGGAATAGACCATCCCTGAGGAGAAAGGACGGGAGTTAAACACTCAAGCATATTCTTCAGTCTTAAGAAAAGAAAAACAGTTCATAAAACAGCTAAAAGCAGCAACCTTGCTAACAAAGGCTAGTTGGACAGGGACAAAGACCAAGGCTAGTCACACTCTTGCCTTAAGTAATTTAAATTTCTGGAACTTTTTATGTATACTTCCCCAAGGAGCTCATGGCTAACAGGACTAATGCACACTTTTCAAAACCGTGGGAGAGGAGCAATCCCACAATGCTCAGACACTGGTTACTGACTATTTGCAAGTAGACTCCAGTGAAACGGTAAACTCAAAGGTGACCTGAATGATCCCCCTTTCTTTCTCTCAAATGCCGGTCCACTATATCAGAGACTAAGAGTGAGACCAGAAGAACCAGATGGTGCCCAGTGGGCACTACCAACGGCTCTGGAAGGGCTCACATAGGTGGTCCTGGATAGAGTGGGAGAAAAAAGTAGAACTGAACCCAGAATCCTAACGAAAACCCAGGCATGCTGGTCAGGAGGGAGACTTGTGGAACCCCCAAGACTATGGCCCTTAACCATCCTTTAGCTCCAGAAAGGACCTCACCGCCACGGCTCAATGTTCAGCTTAAACAATAGACAACTAAGTCCGTAAGGGGAACGATAATACTGGTGAGATACACACACCCTAGAAAAATCAACCATCTGAGATCACAATGGCAGCAATTGCCCAAGGACAAAGCTCAGAAAGGTTAGGAGAGGGATGGAGACCAGAAACACAAGGAGAAGTGGTATTCATGGTGGGGCTTGCAGTCAATGAGATGAAACAAAAAGTGTACACATCATTGAATGGAAAATGGCTCTGTTCTATAACATTTACCCTAATTCACAAAAAGAAAAAAACGATGATTAAAAAATAATAATAATAAAACGAATATAAGTATTTGCAAATTGCTAGAGCACCAACTAAAAATGTCTACATGTTTAATTTGCAAAGAAAGGTACTGACAGGGGACCACAGATGAGAAACCTCCTCTAAGGACCTACCAACAGTCATGGCTCCCACAACAAAGCCTTGTGCTGCCACGCGCATGTGGATCAGGTGGACCGACATCTTGGTGTTTCCCCGGCTCTTCAGTTTGTACAAGCCGTACGCCACGATTGCCGCACAGCCCGCGATTCCTGTGGAACAAATGGTCACCAGTACAAAGGATGCATGGGGGTGGGGGTGGGACAGGGATTAAGTCCAGCCATCAGTTTACTCTCCACTGTTTTTGCCAGCCCATTAATTAAATGGCTATCATAAAAACCGAGTTCCGGGAGGGAGGGGGGAAATGAGGAGCTGAAACCAAGGGCTCAAGTAGAGAGAAAATGTTTTGAGAATGATGATGGCAACCAATGTACAAATGTGCTTGACACAATGGATGGATGGATTGTGATAACAGTTGTAGGAACTCTCAATAAAATGATTTTAAAAAGAAAAAAATCACAGGGAAACAACAGAAATAGAGACAGAGATAGATATCTTTGGAGAGTTAAGAGAAGATTTTGCACTGATGAAGAACAGATTGATGGATCAGAATGACATTGAACTTTTCAGGTACAACATGGGAGCTAAAAAATTATGACAAAAATGCCCTCAAAACTCTAGAGGAAAGTTCTTTTCAATACAGAATACCCAGATGTGCATTGCATTCAAATGTAATGGCACAATAAAGACCATTTCAGACATGTAAAAAAAAAACACACCAAAAAACCGAGTCCCTTAATTTCCTCTCTCAGAACCAATAATCCATAATTGGTGGCAAATAGTAGTATATCCTAAAGAAGCAGGAGATTATCTTCGAGACGTGAAGGTGTGCGCCACAGGCTAAATTCCTTTAAAAGAACGCTAGAGCCACCCTCCCTCCCTCCCCGAAGAACCTCCAGTTAAACCAGCAGAGAAGACCTGACACCTTCCTATCACTGAGAAACAGGTGTGGGGCTCATCTGTGAAGTTTCCCTTTGAGAGAATGCACTATAGACTTGACATAGGAGAAAATAAGAGCCTGGCGGCAAGGGTTTTGAGATGAGGGCATCACGACCCTAGAACTCTACCTAGCTCACTCCCATTCATTTTGAGGGCAAACGACACGCAGGATGTGACCCTGCATGTTTTCAAAGTCCATCATCCGTGAGCTTAGGAGGTTTAGAAAAGAAAAACTGGAGGAAGCAAAGGAGCTGCAGTGGCTCAATAGTTGAGTACTTGGTTCCTAACCCGAAGGTTGCCTGTTTGAAGCCACGCGGGGGCTCCTTGGGAGAAAGATCTGGTGATGTGCTCCCCTGGAGACTGTTGCTGCTGCTGTTGGGTGGGCTCCAGTGGGTTCCGACTCTTGGAGACCCTCTGTCTGCACAGCGAAAAAGTGCCCAGTCCTGGGCCGTGCTCACAACTGCTTCCATGCATGTGCCCGTTGTTGCAGCCATGGTGTCCCCTGTCTTACTCAGGGTCTTCTTCCTTGGAGAAGACCCTGGTTGCTTGGTGCCCAGAGACAGATTACAACCCAGAAAACCCCGAGGGGGCGTCCGACTCTGTCACTCGAGATGGTACGATTCAAAATCAACTCCACATCCCTTAACAACAATGAAGTAGCCCAATCAAGTGAAAAATGGATCGATAAACATGTGAGATATGATGGTGACCAATAAAGCCAGTAACATCTATATAGGTTTCTTAGAAATGACAAGGTGTTACTGTAGAAAAAATAATAATCTGAAATCAAGGTTATGATTATTACAATAAAACATTTGGATGGGAAAGGTTATGTTAAAGGTCTTAATTTAAGGAACAGGTTTATAATCAGTTTAGCACTGGAAATAGATGAAAAGACATGTTGATTAAAATAGAGATAGCCACCTATAGCATATCAATAAACAAAGAAAATACAAAAGATAAATAGAAAACAAAGAACAACGGCAGAAATAAAACCTAAGAGTGCTGTAGCAATAAAAGTGTAGCGGTTGATTTCCGCTCAGTAACTCCATGCCTCTGAGTGGAGTCTGACTCAAGTGATCCAATCTAACAGGGTGTTTCTGCTGTGGGTTTCTGAGATTGTAGCTCTTTACAGGAGTCCGGTCTGTCTCCCACAGAACAGTTAGTGGTTTTGAACTGCTGACCTTGAGGTGAGCAGCCCAACACCTCACTAGTAGGTTAAAATACAAAACCTGGATGTATGCTTTATATAGAAGATTAGAATAACTAAAGTATCACTTAAAGAGTTGGAAATAAATCGATGAGCGAAGATCAGGCTAGGCAATACCAATTTAAAAAAAGCAGAGGTGGTAGCACTAGGCTTACACATGGGCCATGTCATACAAGCAGAGATTTTATAATAATTAAAGTGATAAGTCATAAAGTCATGAATCTCTAAAGAGTCCAACTAATATAGCAATGGAATAAGTGAAGCCAAAGGTGTTATGCATATAAGGTGAACTCCATGGTACGATCATAAAAATAGGCAGCAGTAATGCAGCTGGGATTCTGTCAATTCCTGCAACCTTGTTTTCTGTTAATGTCTTCAGTGCATACTTTTCCTTCAATACCACTGGCTCTTTTTCTTTTTACATTGAGCTATAATGAACAAATGAAGCAATCCAACAGCTCAGTCATGTCGTGAAGGCTGTGCACTTATCACAACACACGCTGGTTCTCAACCACATGCTCTCGCTTAAACTGGCCGAATGTCCACCAGTGCGTTTGGGACAGTGCGTTTGGGTATTCCGTTCATCACCTTCTGAGATTTTCTGCACCTTTCAATGTTTTCCCAATACACGCTTTCAAGACAGCCATGTGAGGCTCAATTCCCCTTCAGTTCTCTTCGCTTAAGACACAGGCACCATGAGCTTCCACTGTGGTTTTCTAACTCCAGCTCTCTGCACGTTTCATCATACATGTGACTGTGTCTTTCAAGCTGACCTCTGAAAATTTATAATCGTTTTCCTTCCATTTTCATGAGCTGATCGACAACCGTAAGCAAGTTCCAGAGTCGACAGCAAATCCAGGACCAAACCTGGGTTTCTGATTCTTAATCCAGTGTTCTTTTCTCTTCGCTACCCACTCAGTGAAATAAGGATCAATAAAGTACGTCTGGATGAACACAGAGTTTTGCAGTTCGATTTATGTCACACCCATCTCAGCATACTTCAACAACAAGGAAAAACATACTTGGAAATACATGCTTCCAGGATGTGCTGATGAATGAGTATGTCACCATGTCTGTTACAGTCAGGCTTACCCCACATTAGTAGAACGTCAAAGTTGAGCTTACCTATGGGGACAAAAGGGGCCTCTTTAGCTTTTCTGATGAGTTTGGATCCCTGGTCTTCATCATATGAAGAGAGAGAAATATCTGTGTTCGATGACATAGTTGTTGGTGAGAATCTTTCTGAGATTGAAGAGTTTTCCTGAAAGAGAATTTTCATAAGGTTTTGTAAGTACAAGCATCTGCAACAGTGTTTTTGCAAAATGGCTGATACCGCCTCCTGGGTGGCACTAGAATGATTCGTGGGGGCGGCAAAGGCAGAAAGCTATATTTATACTGGATGAGAGGGGACAGCACGAAAGTTTTTAGAGGTGTGCTGATTAGTTTGGGGTTTTTTCCCCCTGCAAAGGGAACAGCAAGTTAAGTAAGTTTGGCAATCTGTGATCTAGAACATAATGTAGTGTCTGGCTGTATTTAAAAATCCTAATTTCTATGTAAAACCTGGTATCCATGGATTAGCACACACACTCACACACGTTTACTCTTTATTACCTCAAGGAAGGAACCCTAGTGGCATAGTGAGTTACACTTTGGGCTGATAACTGTTAGGTTCAGCAGTTCAAATCCACTAATCACTCCTCAAGCAAAAGATGAAGCTTTCTGCGCCCATCAAGACTTGCAGTCCAGGAAGCCCTAAGGTGCAAGCCCACTCTGTCCTGTAGGGTCGCTGTGAGTCGGAATCAACTTGATAGCAGTGGGGCTTGACGACCACCTCGAGGGAGAATTTTATTTATTTATTCTCCCTAACGTTCTGAGGTTTATCCCGTAAAGCCCGTTCCTTTTTAGATCCATATTGTTAAATAATAATTATTATTATTATCAATTAAAATAGCTATTTGTTTTCTGGCCTTCTTCATATTTAATCAACTTTGACATTGGCAGCTTTATTCAGACAAAATTGATATTCCTTATTACTTCAATGTTGGAAATCCTAAGTGTAGTACTAGTCTTAATTGCTTTTGACCCATTTGCTCCACCAAGCTATATGGGTTCAACTCTTAACTCTCATATTCCCAAACCATTACACTAATCTTTATTTTTATTATTTTTTTAACTAATCTATTATTGATAGCAGTGGTCTTTGGGGAAAACAGTAGTCACTGTGAGTAGTCAAAATTTGAACCTAGCTCCTCACTTACTCCTTTTATGAACAAGTTTTGATTTTAAGGACGGTTACTAGAAGTGCACGATACTATTCTATCTCAAGACTTGGCGTTATAATTTTAAACATTACTGTGGGAGAAAACGGACACACCCTCAGGACAGTCTAATGAATATCTTCTATGATGGAGCTTAATTGAAAACTCTCTCTCGTGTATTTTGGACTGTGATCAGGAGGGGCTTCTATCTCATAACTTGGCGTTATAATTTTAAACATTACTGTGGGAGAAAACGGACACACCCTCAGGACAGTCTAATGAATATCTTCTACGATGGAGCTTAATTGAAAACTCTCTCTCGTGTATTTTGGACTGTGATCAGGAGGGGCTTCATGGAGGGTCAGTGAGAGGATTGGTCCAGTGGCCGGGGCAATGGCTCAGGCTTTACAGGAGGGAGGATGGTGAAGGCCTGGGCAGCACGTCGTTCTGTCGCACGGGTCACAGGGTCGCCGTGAAGAGGAACCAATTCAACAGCGCCCAACAGGCTGCAACTCTGCCTTCTTGTACATATCTTATAGGCTCCTGTCTTAATAGTGGACACAGTGTTCTCTCTGCACCCTCTTTTATCATATTCCTTTAAATGGGACTCACAAAGGAGAGACACTAATAAGGAAGGAGACAGTTAAAAAAAGATTTAGCTCCTTGTGCCTTTTCAGTTATCTGCATGCATACAGGAAGCTAGCAGGCATTTGGTCACAAGGAGGCTAATGTAAATATAATCTCACATTAGTCAGAGTAACGCTGTATATACGTCATATTTAACTGAACTGATTTGAACTGCCTGTAACCTTTATCCACTGATAAAATAAGGGAGGCAACCACTGTTTATCACTGCACGTGTCCCCAGTTAGTGTCAACTACACAAAACTCAGAAGTCAACCTCTGTTCCACTGTGCTCACAAAACCCTTTACTTGGGGTTTTTCCACGTGCATCACACACCCCTCGGTAATAGCTCTTCCACACCTTGCAATCCAAGGGGGTGGGGACGGCTATTAGTGTGGTTAAGGCGTCCTCCCAAGTTGCAGACAATCTAGGGGTACGGGTGTGTGCTTAATTTGGAAAGTGAATTCATCTTCCTAACTCCCAGGGACCTCCATTGAGAAGTGATTCAGTCTTGTCATCTGACAGAAAAGAAAACCTCAGCCCAGGACAGTCGAGCAGTATCGCATAGGTAGAATGACAACGACAATCAGAACTAGCCCTTCCTGCTCTTTTCCTGTGCTCCATTTCCTCCCCATTGATCAGGCTCCTACTTCATGAACTCTTAGAGACAAGGAGGCTTAGGGAGGAAACTTCAGGGAGCTCACTAACGTGAAAGAGTTTCAAACAGTTTGCGTGGAAAACAATACGGATGCCAGAAGAACTAGATGGTACCAAGCCACCACTACCAATGGCTATGAAAGGGATCACATTAGAAGGTTCTGGAGAGCGTGTTAGAAAAATGTGGAACAGAACTCAAGGCTTAGGACAGTGATTGGTAGGACCCCGGAGACGAAGGCCCTTAAATACCCTTCAGGTCTGGAACTGAAGGCACCACACAGTTGGTCTATAAGGCAAACAGGAACACGAGTGAGACATGTACCTTAACATAACCCATCGTTTGACCTCCAGTGGGTGACATTTACCACCCAAGGGCAAAGTTCAGAGGAAGGAAAGGAAGAGGAGTGGAAACAGCAGACAGGGTAGAAGTGGGCACACCATCGTATATTGAAGGAATTTCAATGAATGACATAAACCAAAATGTGTATGAATTGTTGAATGTAAAACTGATGTTCTGCTTTGTAAACCTTCATCAAATTCACAATGAAAGGTTTTGAAAATTAGTGGGAAAATGACATTAAAGGAGAATGGAATTTTTCCACAGACTTTTTAAGGTCCCTCATGCTGAGGAGATGAAGTATTAACCCTGAAATTATGTACAAAAAATTAGATAAAAAAGATGACAGAGTATGATGAATCATCAATAGAGAACTGAGATCATTAGAACTGATTTTAGAAGGAGTGATGGTTCTTAGCTAATGGAGGTGCAGGAGGTTTAAAAGAAAAACAGTAACGCGCCCTGAAGAATCTGTGAACACTGACCAAATGGAGACTGAGTATCGCATTTAGGCTAACATCTTTATGAGTTGCCTTCATATCAAGTCATAAACTCCCCAAGGACATAACTGTTGACCACAAAGCCTCCTCCTATCTCCATTCCTCTCAAGCATACGCCCTAACCACACTAAACTTTCAGAAGCTCTCTGCAACTCTGCCTGTCACTCTTCCTCCCAGTCCCTTTCACCGACCTCCTCGGGGAAGTCTTCTGTGACTCTCTAAATGTCTAAGTCTCTGGCCCGGTAGTGTCATAGGACCTTCGTGGGCATTAGCAGTGCAGCGGCACAATTCTCAGCTACTGTGCAAGGGCCTGGCCAATGCTCAGCCACTACCCACTGTCAGCGGAGGCATGTGTGTCCCTTTGATGCTCAACAGGCTTCAGTGTTATGTCTAGACTAAGACAGACCAAGAAGAAAGGCCTGTAGACACACATCCAACAACCAGCCAACAGTTTAGTCTACAACTGATCATGGAGATGTCGTAAGGCCAGGAAATGTTTTGTTCAGGAAGCATGACGCTGCAAAGTCTGGGCCCAGCGTGCTAGCAGCTAGTAACAACAGGCCCTGTACTGTCTCTATTATCACCTGTTTCACTGCCTGTCCTCTGGCTAGAATCCTTGAAGTCAGATGCCTACGTCTCCTTCTTTGTCCTCTCGGTCTCCTTTGCCTGGTGTGATGTCTTGCAGGCAGTAAGTACACAGCAGTGTTCTTCTCAGTTATTTAGTGAAAAATTATTATTATTATTATTATGCATATTTGGAGAGTTTAAGCAGTAAGAAAAATGCTAAACTTAAATATGTAGGTATTTACCATGTATACTCATGTATAAGCTGAGTTTTTCAGCACATTTTTAATGCAGATTTTGTGGTAAACGTGGGTGCCTCGGCTGATATTTGGGCCAGATTATACTTGAGTATATACAGTAGTTCTTTTTACGATTTCTATTCTATTTGTGAGAGAAAATACAACAACCAGGGTAGTTCTTTTGCCTCCTTGAACCATGAGACAAAATTATTATATATAATAATCTACTTTTTTAAAGTAGCAACTTCTTCTGTAGATATAAAAGTGTGTTTTCAGTTGTATAAGTCCCTAATAAAGTGATTTAAAGAGTTAAAAAAAAAGTGTGTTTTCCTCTTTGGCTCCACTCTTTCCTAAAGTAAGAAATCAATTGGGAATTATCTTTATAAGAAAGAAGTTAATACTTCGTCTTCTAATCACCTCAGATATGGACTCTGATTGCCAATAGGAATTGACTGATGGCAATGAGTTTGGTTTTGGGTAATCTATAACTCCAGCTCTGAGGCCACATTACTATTGCTAGAGATTTATGTGCTTCTGTCTAAAAACCAGCTGAGACTTTCTGTGATCTCTCTAGTCCTTCCCTCCAGGGACACAGCTACTTTGACCTATCTCGGAGCTTTGCCTTTCCTTCCTCAGCAGAGTTAAGGGGAGGACACCCCCTTCAGACAGCTGCGAATCTGAATTAGACCTGCACTCCTAGTGTGGTAGTTACATCATCTGATGTCAATCTGGGGCTTGAGGATTAAGAGTGAAGGGGTGGAGTCTAGTCTGTCAATGGGGTCATAACCAAGGAGGCCTCTGTGTGGGTGTGGCCTTCTCCTGAGAATTGTGGGAAATTCGGTATTCCTTCTTGGAGGTGGGAGACACGGCTCTCTCACTACTTCACTTCCTTGGAGACTCTCTATTGACAAGGCTGACTCTCTGGGAGATATCCCTGAGAAGCCACATGGACCAACCCTGATGCACAGAACCCTGGACTTGGAGGAGCCACATGGAGACCCCTGCCAGCGCTGAGATGTTCCGTCACTGGATCCAAAGACTTTCTACCCACTGGCCAGTGATCGTTCTGCATTCGGCATCATTGCATGTGTTTCTTGAGTCTGAAG